CATTGCAGAGCTTAAATTCAGGGTATGTATACAGCAATTATGGATATACAGGTGAGTTTTTATTACTCTTTTGCCGGAAGAGTCAAGAGGAATCGGCCGTCGTATTCTGGCGAGATCCATCTTTGCATCGGTTCTCAAAACACTTTGCCTCGAAATGAAAGTGAGTTCAACAATTAAGAGGCAAGAAACTTCTTAAAGCCCAACTGTGGCATAGAACATTAATTCCGTCTGGTCAGGTGGGTGCAATTGTTGCTGGAGCCTATGAGTCCGTGTTCTCCAAAAATATCACAACTGGCGAAAATGTTGTTTTAACCCACGCCTTGCGCGCCAATTTGGCATGCAACGACTTGACTTCGGCCTCAAAATGAGACGAAACAGCGAAGAAAGTATAGTTTACTTGGTTTCGTTGGCCTAAACTATGAAATTTTCCATATTTTAATGTCCCAAAGTAACTTCACAGTCATACCGGAACGTTTCAACTTTGCCCACATTGGTGAATACTCGAGCAAATTAGTCTGTAAATTCTACTAGTATACGAAAAATAAATAGAAATATGGACAATCCAGATTGAAAAACTTTGAGAAGCTATTGTTTGATTTTGGCATGCAAGTACGCAAACGAAATGACCTCTTCCACAGGATCTATCGCTCTTGCTGCTATGGGAGAAAATCTTATCACGCATATGTTGGGCAAAAGTCTGTATCACATGATAAAAAATTGGGTAATAAACAGTCTCTTGTGCCATGCTGTACCATATATGTTTAGACATGCATATAATGTAATAATGTAGCCTAATAGAATACTTAAACGTCAAATGGTCTGCCCACATTTCCCATCAACATCGTCTGCAATGCTACATCATGGACTCACTGCCAGGACAGACGGATTTGGTAGAAGAGAACATATTTTAACTGATTATTTCCCTTGTTTTATCATGTGATACATACTTTTTCCCAACACATGTATTATAAGATTTTCGCCATATCGACAAGCAGATTCACAACAAAACTCTCTCTCTCTCTCTCTCTCTATATATATATATATATATAAAGTGAGTTTTTGTATTTGTCGATATTTGCGCAACATGATCAAAATTATGGTGAATAAGAGTTGTGAAGCTAGCTCTGATGAATGTTGTACTTGAAGAATAGAATTCATCTCACTTCCTTTTGACGTTTTTTTGTATAAGGTCATACTTTGCTAATCGGCAGATGCTTGAGTGGAGCTTCAAGTAATACAGACTTTATTGTCGAGAAAAGCAAAATGTCCTATTTGTCATCTATATTTGCCATTTCGACACTACTTGTAGGACTAGTAGCTGAATTTGTCTTACGTTTCCATTGGATTTCACATGGCCTTGCGTCTCAAAGGATGAGAATACCATTTAGGACATCAAGGCTATATGGGATTCACATGATTGTGGGCAAATTCAACTGCCAGTCCCTTTGTATCTTTGTACCCTTAACCGAAATTTAAGGTAAAATTTTACATTTTCCAGTAGGTTTTAGAGACCATCAGCAAATCAAATGTATGAATTATGTTCACCCCATTTCGCTTAAGGTGATGAAGACTGTTAGTTGACGTTTCCCACAATCAAACACGAGTAGAGCTGACGTCTCCATTCAATTGTACAGTGACTCACTTTCACAAAATGTGTTCTCATCCACACGACAGTGGAATGCAGTTTCCACTTTGCCTAGGCCCTAGCAACAGCCTCTGCGGGACTCGAGCCATGACAGCGCATTGTTAATCTCTACACGTTGACATCATCCTTCATCACCCTAAACGAAATGTCCAATTCTTTCCTCTTTTGCTGATCGTGTAACTGTCGGAAATGTTAAAGGTCAAGCACAAACTTGCCGATAGTCCTTTGTCAGTCCACACCTCGAAAGGCAAATGCAATTTTTCCCTCAAATGCAACACACTACTGAAATATATGGTCAGTAGCAGGTGTCGTCTCGAAGCCGTGATGAGGCGAAATGTGCTCGAGCCGGGCCAACCGGACAATCGGGCCCGGTTGTACCGACTACTTGGGCTCGAGCGCCCCTTTCTGGCGCCAAACTGGCATTTTAAAGTGTGATACCCATTTGTTACGACTCACCAATCGAAGCTGTGGAACAGCAAAGTCTAGACAGACGACGTGTGCGGCTGTGTGGAAGAGGAGGAGGAGGTAGAAGAAGCATCGTCTCGACATCGTCTTCGGCGGGGCGGTCGGGCGACTCGTCAAGCATGGACTCTTCTGCCTCACTTTGCGTCGTCCGAGGCCGGACAGCTTCGTCGTCGGC